TTTTTTGTTTGTTGGACAGACTGTGCGTCAAGATGTTGGACTGGTTTGACTATCACGGCCACATGTGTCTGGCCTTCGAGATGCTCGGCCTATCCGTGTTTGACTTCATGAAAGACAATAACTACCAGCCCTACACACTGGAACAGGTGCGACACATGGGCTATCAATTGGTGTATTCCGTTAAATGTAAGCGTCAATTGACGGCATATTTAATGTAAATTAGTATTTGTCTCTCAATTGTGGTGTTAATTGTTGTTTTGAATTACGTGTCAGTCCTTCACGACAACCAATTGACTCATACGGACCTAAAGCCGGAGAATATATTGTTTTTTGATTCCGATTACGAGGTCTTCTATAACACCAAAAAAGTAATTGCAATCAAAAAATGTTTGACTCAATTGTGTGTATGAATTGTGACCCGAATTGCTGTGTGTTTTGCGTCCAGAAAAAGGACATAAAGCGGGTGAAGAGTACTCACATAAAGCTCATAGACTTCGGTTCGGCGACCTTTGATGACGAACACCACTCGACAATCGTGTCCACCCGTCACTACAGGGCGCCGGAAGTCATACTCGAGTTGGGGTGGAGTCAGCCGTGCGACGTCTGGAGCATTGGCTGCATATTATTTGAATTGTATTTAGGAATAACATTGTTTCAAACGCATGACAATCGCGAGCACCTGGCTATGATGGAGAGGATACTGGGGCCCATTCCCTATAGGATGTGCCGCAAAACTAAGTAATTATCGCATTTCTTATGCTTTTATTCATTTATGTCTGAGTCTAGTATCGATTGTACAGTAATTACTTAATTGAGATCTCAATCTTACCGTAAGACTAGACATACTGTAGTTTTAGGTATTATTTCTTTGACGACATAATTATGGCATTTACTAATGAGTTGGGGAACGGTATGTGTGTTTCAGAACGAATTACTTCTATCACGGAAGGCTCAGTTGGGACGAGAAGTCGTCGAACGGGCGGTACGTACGGGAGAACTGTAAGCCACTGCTCCGGTACATGACGGCGGACGACGAGGAGCACCGGGCGCTGTTCGACCTGATCGGCCATATGCTGGAGTACGAGCCCAGCCATCGGCTCACTCTGAAGGACTCGTTGGAGCACCAGTTCTTCCGTAAGCTTCCGCTGGAATAC